TAATGGAACTACCCGGGTGACCTAACCGCCTATGCCAAAGAGAGCCATCCGCGGTGAGAGCAAGAGGGGAACGCGGAGGTAGTGAAGGCGTCACCGAGTAGAGTGGTCCAGAGCTATCACATCAGAGTAGTTTGGTCCTGGTCACAAGATCTTTAACACTAAAAGCAAACGTGTCAAATTCGACAGTACACTTATTTTGAGTAACAAATGGACAAACTGAGATTGGAGTTTTAATAAAGGAAGGAAAGACACGAACATTATTGAGTGAGAGTTGTTTAGATGGAGAAGACAAAGTGGAATTTCCCATTTTAGTGACATGCACAATAGATCCTTCACCAGTACAGACTGATGGAATGATACTCATGTTAAACACAGACGAGAGCATACCTGGCTTTGCCGTTATATGATTCAGCTCCACTGTCCATATACCTAGATGAATCGTTCGGATTCTGGAGGCTCATGGTGCTGAATGCGTGCACTAGAGCTTGTGGGATCAGTGTAGGCATAGCGGCTGTAGGTGCTGCGGTCTGAGCTACGTGGGCTTGAGGTTGATGCGAGTATAGCTTGCTTGGATGGAGATGGTGAAGCTGCAACTGGAGGATATGGCGAGACAAAAAAGCATCATGGGATGTCCACCATGTTAGTAGGGAAAGAGGCACTGTTGTTTTGAGGAAAGCTCCATGAAAAGTAAGCAACGCTATGAGAAGCAAAGATGTTGTAATTGTTGTTGTAGCGTCCTTTTCCTCGATTTCCGTGGCCTCCACCTCGATTGTTGTTGTTGTGCCCTCGATAGTTGTTGTTGGTGTTGTTTCCTCTGTTATTGTTGTTGTTGTTGTGTTATCGATGTTGGGGTCAAAATCGGTACGACGGAATCAATAGCCAAAATTCCCCGCAAACGCGTAAACACAACAGTTTTAAGAATCTCGAGAATCATTTTATAAAACTCGAGAGATCGTTTTATAAAACTCGAGGATCGTTTTATAAAACTCGAAGATCGTTTTATAAAACTCGAGAGATCGTTTTATAAAACTCGAAGATCGTTTTATAAAACTCGAGAGATCGTTTTATAAAACTCGAGAGATCGTTTTATAAAACTCGAAGATCG